ATGTTAGCCATTAATAATGATGATAATAGAGTTCGACGGGGATTGGGACAAACATTCAGGCGTATGGCCAACGTTCTGTATGGTGTATGCTCAAAGATTGATGTTGAATTCATTATAAATCAAATAACAGAACTAAATCGAAGCAAAGTACCTAGTAAAAGCAATATTCCGGAAAAGATCAGATTCCTACAAGCAGAAGTAAATCACTCTACACAACAATTAGAACTTCAACAACAAAAAGTAGAACAAAACCTCCAGTAGCTACAAGCACAAACAAATCTTACTATCCAAAACCTTAATAAATTGGCGTTCCGAACCAAATTATTAGAACAATCATTACTATTTGAACTAGTATTAAATAAGTACGCTTATGAAACCCAGAACCTTATCTCCATAATAAATACAGCATTAGATGGAAAAATTCACACTAGTGTCTTTACTCCACAGCACATTATTAAAGAACTTCTCGAAATTAAGGTAGATTTGCCGATTGGAAATACTTTTCCATTGGAAGTTAATATAGAATCTCTTAATGAAATCCTCCGAATCTCTGAAAAAAACATATTCTTTAAAGACAACTATCTTATCTATGTCATAGAAATCCCACTAATTACCAGTGAGGAATATAGTATATACCACCCTATACCTTTACCCATACCCTACAGTGAACAAACCATTTTCTTAGTCGACCCTGAAATAGATTATTTAGGTGTAAGCAGAGACAACGAAAATTTTATTGCTTTAGATAACGTAAAATGGGAAGAATGTATAACATTAAAGCCCTATAAAGTTTGTAGAGGTAATCAACATGTACAACATTGTGCAGAATCAGATGTATGTGTAGTTTCATTACTAGTGAATAATCAATTTAATCCAGACCATTGCAAATTCAAATTCGTTTCATTAAAAGCCCCTATATGGCATCAGTTAGTGCAAACTAATTCATGGATCTATTATACCCAACGGGAAGTAGGTACCATCACTTGCACAAATCCAACAGAAAATTCCAAGATAGAAATTGAGGGCGTAGGCAGAATAACTATACCCCCATTTTGTAAAATTAATCTCAGAAACTCTATATTATTTTCTAATAACAAAGCTAGTAGGGATATTCATTCAGATATTATACCAGAAAATTCTAAGAATGAACCGTTACACGCATTGGCAGATATAGTCAAAACAATTATTCCTCAAAACCTCACTAATAAAATCCTAATTCAAAATTTGAACCAACTGATTAATAAAGCATTTGAGTTAAATGAACTTTCACATACCCTAGCTGAACCTTCGTTAATTTTCAACATTAACATTCACGTTATTGTCATTTATATTATTGTAATACTAACAATATTAACAACTAGTATATTAAGTTTTAGTTTAAGAAAAAATGTTACAAAAATATACAACCCTGAAATACCAGAAGCATGAAAAATCTAATGGTATTTAGGAAGACACACAGTGTAATTTATTTTTCTTTTATTATTTTTCTTTTAATATTTTATTATTTTATTGTCAAACTGAACTGACCCCCAAATAACAGAAAATTCAAAACCTTGCAGAAACTTAAATATTTAAGTGAAACACTGTGGTCATTGGACCCCCGTGTCTCATTTAGTCTGGGGGGTGTTAAGAACCCCTGATTAGTACATATTTTATTTTTTATATATCTATATATGTTAACAACATATATAGACAATCATAATGCAGAGTGTGTGTCGTAAGACGCTGCTACCGTGGGAACCGCTGAATAAGGGTTTTTTATGTGAGACGGGGCACCGTCACGACAACACACAGGGAGTCAGTCAGTCGTAGAATCACCAGTGTTCAATTAACAGTTTGTAGCTACACTTAATTTTTACTACCAATTTTAATAAAAATACATTAATTATTTTAATCTTCAATTGTTGCGTACGTTTATTTTGTGTTGTGCGTAAAATCCATAACAAGGAGTGACGTTGCGCATGTCTCTGAGCAGCTGCGAGGGTCGGCGACCGCCGACGCCTCCGGGGAGAACAATCTCGCGGAAACGCGTAGATCGAAGGACACCGAAAACGTCGATGAGGAGGCGACGGATTCCTTCGTACGTGGCTGAGGACCCGAGCAGGTCGGCGACAGCGCGAATGCCCTCTTCATCGAGCGCGGTCAACACGTGGTTCACATGTGAGTTGTTTGTTGAAATGCACTGGCACGCGAAGGTTGCTTCTGCGTGGATGAACCAGTGCTCCGGCGCGTGCCTCCAAAAGGCAGGAAGGCGGGCGACGGCGGCTACGTCAGGCGGTGTCGTGTTAAAGTTGGGCGGGGGGGGTGTTGTTGCTCGCGTTGCTGTTTCCGCCTTGCACCTTTTCGGACGCGTTTGGCATGATTCACTCGCGACGGACTGATCGGACGAACGGGGTAAGCGGTACGCGTGTACAAATATCGAGGTCACCAATGTGGAGAAGTCGGCGCGGGTAATGCCAGCTGACTCCAACAGACCACGTAATCGTGACTAATTTAACCAATGAGAATAACAAAGCAGTTTGGTTAATGATGATTCGGTTTATTTATTACAAGAGCACGTAGAAAAGTAAAATAATACAGTTAGTGTACGATGGGACGTAATTGTTAACACGACGAGTCAGAAACGTTGGTCACGAGGTTTCGCGTGTGTGGAAACTCGGTAACGAGAGGTGCGTAGCGCGTACGTGTGTACTGTTGCGAAATCGCGGGAGAAGAGAGTCAATTCGGGCGGCGGCTAGACTTGTTGATGTATGGATGAAGTGTAGGTTTGTTATTTGTTGTTGCAATCTGTGATGAAATGCCTGTGTGGAATTTTTGGGTAAGATGAATTTAATAGAAATATGATTGTTGTTGTGATTTTTGTATTTATGTTAAAGGTGTATAATTTATTGTTGTTTGCCTGTTGAAGTTTATGTGACAAATCTGAAGAAATGAAGAGTTGGATAGGGTAATGTGAAGAAATGATTGATAGTATTGGTCTGAAGTTTGTATATATAAATTTGTTTAGATTGATTTTTGTGTGGTTAATCGATTGTTTTATTCTAGCTCGAAACATTTGTTCTTAGCAGGGACTGGAACCTTGATGATTTTGACGGTTCCGGTTCCGGTTAGGTTCTTACAAAAACTAAAATTTCGGTTTCGGTTTCTTTTCGGTTTTTAAGAAAACTAAAATTTCGGTTACGGTTTCTTTTCGGTTTTTAAAAAAAACTAGAATTTCGGTTTCGGTTTTTAAATTGACAAAAATGTAGGTTTCGATTTCTTTTCGGTTCTTAAAAAATGAAAACTGAAATCAAATTCCTGTTTAGGTTTTATACTTGAAAGTTAACACTCATGTAAGAAATATTTGATAAGTTTCGTTGGCGTCAATACTAATTTTTCTACCAGATATTCTACCAATTGCTTAGGACAAAGGAAAGGACTAAATAACTTCATGTACTATCCAGTTTCAAATAACACTTTTTGTATTTTAATAGATTACTATGTAGCATTTACCAATTACTACTTGTTGCATTATTATTCAGTATTTAAGATTTTAAAAATAATTTATTTTTTTTTATTACCAGTTACCAGATATTATATTTTCTTAGGCTAGAGACTTGCGGTCAGGGGTTTAAGAAGATAGTAGATTGGAAAGTCTATTCCATTTTCACAGGATTTTAATCTGATTACTTTATTTTATTCACCTCATAGATATTATATATTAATTATAAGTATGTGCTTTACCTTAAAATGATCTGTAAAAAGTGAAAATCAAAACATTTTAGAATACTTAATGATAGTGACAATTAAAAATCATTTTAGTCATACACAAAATTAATATAATACACATAATTACGTTAAAGATAAAATAAAACGTTTGAAATGTAAAGATATTATTCATACATTAGTTATAATATTGGTACTTATGACAAATAAATTATATACTTTTGAATATTTGATGATAAGGATAACTTAAACGTCTTAAACATCATAATGGATTATAATAAAATCTTATTTAAAATAAAAAAAAACCCCCTTTCAAATTAAAATGTTATGTACTTATACATAAAATTAAGTAATAAACTTATAATATGTAACAAATAATATTTAAAATTTTAAAATAAAACAAAACTTATAAAAATGTAAATTATATAGCAAATCTTACTCTTTAGTTAAATTTTTTTTTCAAACAATCTATTTGTACGAACTATTAATTGATCTAATAATAGTAATAGTAATAATATACACAATCATAAAATGCCTAGTTATTTATAAATATTAACCATATACTTATATTGAGAATTGCTTGGTATTGTGGTAACTGGAACCTCTATAGGTACCTACATATAATAATATGCAGTAAATAATGACTTATTTTTATTGGGAATTTCTCATTTCTATTACATTATCAGTTGTTACGTACAAAATACAAATATTGAAGGATTGTTTTTGTATAATTAACCTCTTAATAATAATAATAGATTTACGAATTTGTTTAGTTCATATTATATTATTATCTACCATGTACCAATGACAATTGACAGATATATATTAAATAAAATTAATGATATAACAAAACCGAAATTAAATGTAAAAACCTTTAAAAAAAAGTATGGGTTGCGGTTAAGTTGCGGTTTTTAAATAAATATAAATAAGGGTTCCGGTAAGGTTCCGGTTTTTAAATAAATTTAAATAAGTGTTCCGGTGAGGTTCCGGTTTTAAAATTAATTTGAATTAGGGTTTCGGTGAGGTTTCGGTTCCCAATATTGAAAGGGTTCCGGTTCCAAAACCGGTTCTTTTCGGTACGGTTCCAGTCCCTGGTTCTTAGTTGTTGTATTGGTTGTCTACAGAAAGGGCATTTGTCATTTCTAATAAGAGTAATGCAATCTAGATGAAATTTATGGTTACAGTCAGTTGTTATTAATTGTCCTTCTGATTCAAGACATATGGGACATGTTTCTTCTTCATTTAAGGTAGGTGTAACATTTTTAAATGGTGTTGCTTGGGGTATAATTATTACTTCACACTTCACAGTCTGTTTTGAGTAGGATTTTTTTATGTGGGAAAAAATAATTTAATGTAAGGGTTATTATTTTATTATCCTTGCATGACAACTTTCTCAATGAGTTGTTGATTTTTATTGATTCTATTAAGTTGTGAGCACAATGTAATTCCATTAAGTTTAAAGTGAGCCGCATTTTTGATAGTAAATTTCGCTTGCAAAATAGTATTAATAATTGTTTGTTTAAGTTAAGGTTTTTTAATTGGTTGTTATTGCAATTTAATATTCTTATTTTTTGATTTAGGTGTAAAGTTTTTAATGCATTATAATCACAATAGGCTTCTATTATATTAGGACTTAGAATTAGGGTTGTTAATTTGTTATAAGAACATATCAATTGATTTAAATCTTCTGGGGGAGTGAATTTTGTAATTTTATTGTTGGCACAATCAAGTGCTTTCAAGTTTTTGTTGACAATTAGCTCAGTTATGTTGTTATTCGTACATGTTAGTGTTCTTAATGCTGTGCATTTGGATACATCTAGCTTGGTGATGTCAAAGTTAATTATAGTTAGTTTCCTTAGTTTGTCTGATTTGATTACTAAGTTTGTGAAAATTGTTTCAGGGTGTTCAGCATTTAAGCTTAGTTCTGTGCAAGGTGTGATGAATTCTTGTATTGAAGGGTCGGTTTCCTGTCTGTACAACATTTTACCGTGCCGAAGAAAGAAGAAAAAGAATAAAATAAAATAAAATTTTAATATTAAGTTAATTTTAGTTATTTTTTAAGTTTTATTGTAGGTTTAAGAGTATACACCAAGCAAGATGTATCCAAATGCACAGCATTAAGAACACTAACATGTACGAATAACAACATAACTGAGCTAATTGTCAACAAAAACTTGAAAGCACTTGATTGTGCCAACAATAAAATTACAAAATTCACTCCCCCAGAAGATTTAAATCAATTGATATGTTCTTATAACAAATTAACAACCCTAATTCTAAGTCCTAATATAATAGAAGCCTATTGTGATTATAATGCATTAAAAACTTTACACCTAAATCAAAAAATAAGAATATTAAATTGCAATAACAACCAATTAAAAAACCTTAACTTAAACAAACAATTATTAATACTATTTTGCAAGCGAAATTTACTATCAAAAATGCGGCTCACTTTAAACTTAATGGAATTACATTGTGCTCACAACTTAATAGAATCAATAAAAATCAACAACTCATTGAGAAAGTTGTCATGCAAGGATAATAAAATAATAACCCTTACATTAAATTATTTTTTCCCACATAAAAAAATCCTACTCAAAACAGACTGTGAAGTGTGAAGTAATAATTATACCCCAAGCAACACCATTTAAAAATGTTACACCTACCTAAAATGAAGAAGAAACATGTCCCATATGTCTTGAATCAGAAGAACCATAACTCTTAATCATATAGTTGTAGTGAAAATCATAAATTAACGTCTTTGATATATCCAAAATCGAAAACCTTACATATAGGTATATTAGCTTATCAAATTTCAATTCATCCATGTCTAAATGTATTGCTGCCAGGTTTTGACTATAAATTGTAATATCTCTAAATGTATTTCGGTTAATTAATTTTGCGCACGTCTTATCATCAGACACCAATTGAATTTTCAATCTATTACGAACATTTTCCATCGTCTTGCCTGAAGATTTAAAACAAAAGTTTGAAAGTTTGAAAGTTTTAAAATAAACTTACATGTAACTTATACAACTTTACTACTTATACAACTTTACTTACAATAAACTTACATATAACTGCATTATTCATTAATTTGAAGAACTTTCTTTCGAAATCATTCATTGCGTTCTTCCTCATACTCATATTGGTGTTCAATTCAATATACTTTGAGAGCCATGCTTATTGATTTAATTTAAAAACTCTATGTTGTGACATTAACACTATTATCATTATTACTATTATCACTATTATTATTACTATTATTATTATTATTATTATTATTATTATTATTATTATTATTATTATTATTATTATTATTATTATTATTACTTTTCCACTCATGTTAGAGGTTATGTTTAATATTTGTAGTTATTGTTGTCTTGTACGTACGTCGTTCCGTACTTACTGAATTATTATGTATGTGTATTGAAGTTATTGAAAGTAATAAATTGTTGTAAACGAAAGTATTAGTTATTTCTTACATCAGAAGTGGGATAAAGAACGAATGTTAATTATGGATGGTCAGATGAATGCGGATAAAAATGTCGACGGCGAGACGCAGTATTCTGAGGAGGAAGTGAATCATGTGATCTTCGGCCAGAGTACTCAGAGCACTCAGAGCACTCAGAGCACTCAGATCCATGTAAAGGAAGACGGGAACGCGATTTTGATGCAGACATTACTCAAACAGAATGAGTTACTAATGAGAATGTTAGCGATAAAGGAGAAACCGCCAGAGGAGGTATACGCTCCACCGGACTTGTCGAAAGTACTACCAACGTTTGATGGTAAGTGTAAGCCCCACGAAGCGGCGGATTGGTTGAGCACGCTCTGTGGAGTGGCGTCATTACATCGTTGGTCGAATGCACTCAAGTTGGAGGCGGCGAGAGTAAACGTGGATGGTCCAGCCCGCCAATGATATATTGGGCGAAGATTCAATTCATGGGCAGAATTTGAACAGCAGTTTAAAGCAACGTTCTTCAGAAAGGTTAACACGGGCAGTCGATGGAAGGCATTGGCAGCGCGGGTACAAGGTAAAAACGAAAGTATTCTAGACTACTTCCACGAAAAGGTTCGACTTTGTCGAGATTTGGAATTAGATTTGTTTGATACCAAGGAACAGTTATTAGACGGTATCCAATCGAAAGAATTATTTCAATATTTGTTAAGCCGTACTCATAATGACGAAAATGAGTTACTATTTGACATTATGGACTACATGCGGTTAGTGGAGCACAGAAATGTTCGATTTCAAAATAAAATAGTTTTGTCCAATTCAAATGAGAAGCAGTGGCCCAGAGGAGAAAGTCCTAGGCCCAAAGCGGAAAGTTCGAGTAGGAGTCAGAAGGGTGTTGAGTCAGCAACAAGCCGGATATGTTACAACTGTGGATCCAGAACGCACATTGCGCCAAGTTGTCCCAGTCCAGTAAGACCAAAAGGAGCATGCTACGGTTGCGGTTCAACAGCACATCAGCGATCAGCGTGTCCGGAACGTGATCAGAAAAATAGGAATGACACAAATGAAGAATCTCGGCGACAGAACGAGCGGCAACATAGTGGATCAGCAGGAGAGATCAGACTGTTAGAGCCAGAATATAATGTAAGGGTAAGTATAATATTATGTAAGGAGACTGTTACTGTTAATGCATTGGTAGATAGTGGTAGCCCAATTTCTTTGATTAAGTCTCATCTTATCCGGACTAGTGAACGAAAACCGTTTAATAATGATATTTTTATTTCGGGTATCAACGGGTCTCAATTGAGTATTGAAGCGGTTACTGATGCTACGGTTTTATTAGTTGATTATGATTTAAATAAGAAACAAATATTTTATGTGGTAGATGATCAGACTATGTTATCCGAATGTTTATTGGGTAGAGATTTTATTAAGGGGATGAATATTTGGTTTGGTGAAGATGGTAGGATTATGGTAAATTCGAAGCAAGAACAGTGTAATGGTAATGACTTTTTGGTTGACTTAGGGTTAATAGAGTATGAGTTGGAAGATGAGGTGGAGTTGAACATAGGTGAGGTATCATTTAGTGATAGATGTAAGTTAAAAAAAATATATGATAACTGTTACTCAAAAGGGTTAAAGCCAGAGTCTCCTGAGATAAACTACGAAGTTAATATAAGTTTGAAAGACCACACTCCTTTTAATTACCAACCTCGACGATTATCATATGTAGAGAGGAACGCAGTGAAGGATATAATTTGTGAGTTATTAGATAAAGGTATTATAAAGGAAAGTAAATCTGAATTCTGTTCACCCATAGTATTAGTCAAAAAGAAAGATAATACATATCGAATGTGTGCGGATTTGAGAGAATTAAATAAAAGAGTTGTGAAAGAACATTACCCGATTCCACATATAGATAATTTAAGAGGGAAGATCTTCTTCACAAAGTTAGATTTAAAGAATGCCTATTTCCATGTGAAAGTGTTGGAACAGTCGTCCAGATATCTCTCTTTTTCAACATTTCTGGGGCAATATGAGTATGTCCGATTGCCTTTTGGGTATTGCAATAGTCCCTCAGCATTCATGAGATATATTGAAACAGTATTTAGGGAATTAATAAGGTCTGGAAAGTTATTAGTTTATTTAGATGATTTGTTGATAGCCACAGAAACTATAGCAGAACATTTGGAAATAATAGAATCGGTATTAATAGCATGTAATAATAACTTACTTGAATTGAGGGAAGATAAATGTTTTTTTCTACAGTCGAGGATAACATATTTGGGTTATGTGGTGGATAAGGATGGAGTGAGACCTGATCCGGCTAATGTAGCAGCAGTGACACAATTCCCAATACCTAAATCAATAGCCAATGTACACAGCTTTGTAGGACTAGTCAGTTATTTTAGGAGATTTATTGAAAACTTTTCCATTTTGGCAGCACCACTGTATGCGCTGTTAAGGAAGGGGGCTCAATTTAAGTTTGGGGAGAAGGAGTCACAGGCCTTTGAGTTGTTAAAGAATAAGTTGGTACAAATGCCGATTTTGGCATTATATTCTCCGTCAGCTGAAACCGAGGTGCATTGTGATGCTAGTGCATTGGGTTATGGAGTGATCTTATTACAGAAACAGAAAGACGGTTTAATGCATAATGTGTTTTATTATAGTAAGAGAACCACTGAGGTAGAAGCTAAATATCATAGTTATGAATTGGAGTGTTTGGCATTAGTGTATGCAGTGAAGCGTTTTCATGTTTATCTCAATGGTATTAAGTTCAAAGTGTTCACTGATTGTGAAAGTTTCAAGTTGACTATGAACAAGAAAGATATGAACCCTCGGATTGCAAGATGGGCGTTATTATTTCAGAATTATGATTTCAGTATTGAACATCGTGCAGGAAGTAAAATGAAACACGTTGACGCATTAAGTCGGAATACCAATATATTAATGTTGTATGAAAATACTTTTGAGCAAACGTTGTCGATTAAACAGATTGAAGATAAAGATATTAACAAGTTAAAAGAGCGGTTGAAGAAATGTGAGGATAAGTACTTTGAAATGAGAAATGGTTTAGTATATAGGAAGTATAAAAGTGAGTTGTTGTTTTACGTCCCTAGTAGCATGGAGGATAATGTGATAAGGTCGGTGCATGAGGAATATGGTCATTTGGGTGTAGAAAAAACCAGTGAAGTAGTGTTGAGAACATTTTGGTTTCCCAATTTGAGAGAAAAAGTCAAAAGATTTCAAATTGCTTAAAATGTATCTCATATTCGCCAGTATATGGTAAAAAGGAAGGCGAGTTGCACCCTATACCTAAGACTCCAATACCGTTCGATACAATCCATATCGACCACTACGGTCCACTGGAGAAGACTGGTAAAAAAAATAAATATTTGTTTGTAATCATTGATGCATTTACCAAATTTGTTAGGTTATATCCTTGTAAAACAACTAACACGGTAGAAGTAATTAGGCATATGAATGATTACTTCAGGTGTTATAGTATACCTAGAAGGGTAATATCTGACAGAGGTTCAACGTTCACGTCTAATGCATTTGGAGAATTCTTAGCCCAGAAAAAAGTAGATTTGGTATTAGTGGCAACGGCGACACCCCGGGCAAATGGTCAGGTTGAGAGAGTAAACCGTTGTATAACAGCAATGCTGGCAAAAAAGACAGTAGATTTAAATAGGTGGGACAGGGTATTGCATGAGGTCGAGTACGCATTGAACAATATGTTATGTGCTTCGACGGGTGAAGCCCCATCTAAGTTATTATTTGGTGTATATCAACATGGTACGGTGGAAGGTGAGTTTAGGAGGTTATTGGTGGAAGTGAAGAAGGACAGGAACTTGGAGGAGGAAATAAGAAAAGAGGCTAAGGACAAGATAGTAAAAAATCAATCATATAATAAAAAATATTATGATGAGAAACATAAGAAACCTACCTTATATAAAAAAGGAGATTTTGTTGTAATTAAAAATACAGATGTTAGTGTGGGGGTGAATAAAAAATGAATACCTAAATTTAAGGGCCCATATATAATAGACAAAGTGTTACTAAACGATCGATTTATAGTCAAAGATGTTGAAGGTTTTCAGCACACTCAGGTGCCTTATGAAGGAGTCATTAGCTCAGATAACATGAGACATTGGGTTAGGAGCTTGGAAAAATGATCCTTTATTATATTTCATGTATTATGGTTATGTTATTATTTATTGATGTTTATATTAAAATGTACTGTTTACTTACTATTTACTTGTGTGTGGTTAATTATTATTTTATGTATACTATTATGAATGTAATATCCTATTATGTATTGTTATAATATTGTTCAGATGTTATTAGAAATTATGATGTTAAGTTAAAGATATTGTGTAATGATCCCAGAGACTGGGATAGGTCAGGATGGCCGAGCTGTGACATTAACACTATTATCATTATTACTATTATCACTATTATTATTACTATTACTATTATTATTATTATTATTATTACTTTTCCACTCATGTTAGAGGTTATGTTTAATATTTGTAGTTGTTGTTGTCTTGTACGTACGTGGGACGCACGTCGTTCCGTACTTCCTGAATTATTATGTATGTGTATTGAAGTTATTGAAAGTAATAAATTGTTGTAAACGAAAGTATTAGTTATTTCTTACAATGTACCTATTAAATTATAAAAACATTCAATTATAATAACTAAATTGTTACCTTTTCCAATATTAAACCAGCTTTCAGAGCTTGTTTTAATGCCATGTAATCCACAACGTAGTGTTTTTTAGGGTTCAAATTCGCCACGAGTTTTTTATTTTCGATCCAGGAGGGATTATCCTCTCTGGAAGGTAAGATAAATCATTATGAGCGTCATGTAATGATTTAAGATGTGAAATGTCGACTTCTAACGGATATCCTATCTCTGACGTATCGTTTGAATTTTCCAACAATTTTAAAATGTTTTTAACGTTTAGATCTCCTTCATACTATGAAAACCCATCTTTTGGTAAAAATTGACTCATTGCCCAGCCGTAACTAAAAAAAAAAAAAAAAATACAAAATTAATAAATTATTATTATTACATATTATGATAACCACAGATTTGTTGCGTCCAAGTATGCGATCCATGAGTTATGCTTTGAGGGATCATAGTCTGGAACCTTGCTATAGTTCGCTTGAGCATATCGCATGCTCGCATAACATCAACTTTCATATAACAGTCGCTATATTCATCTAAGCTATTAAAGTTGAAATGATTCCATAATATTTTTGCATATTCATAATCTTCGTCACTTAAATCCGTTTCGGTTAATGTATTATAAAAATCTTCTTTTCTCGGCAAACAATTCTCGTCTAATTTTTCCCACCCGTCCGTATATTCATAAGGGTAGACCCCTTTCCTTGTTACTAGATCCATGTCAGTGCTATTAAATATTTTACCTATCTCCCTGAATTTTAATTTATCTCCTTTAGATAAATTTATTACAAGTTTTTCCAAGCTCGTTGCCATAAATCGGAAAATGTCGACAAAACGAATTTGAAAAGTGTTTGAAACGTATTTCGTAAAAGATAAATTTTTCTTCAGTGTTTGGTATTACATTAATAGATTTTGTATCAAATCCTAACTGCAATACCAAAAAATGGGAGTCATAACCTGATAGATTATGGAAAAAAATAAGAACAAAGTTAGGTTCACCATTTGCAAATTACATTTGCTGCAAACAGTACCTCTGTATTTTCCAGTCAAATGGTCATGATCCCTAACAGGTAAATTATTATTATTACATTTTGATTTGCATAACGGACATGTTCCTCGGTCTGCAATTTCTCGAGGTATTTTTTTTTTCATCTCCAGTCATTTTAATCGGTACTTTTGTGTTTAATGTATTTTCTATCTTAAGTGCAACTTTGACAATTTCTTCCATAAACTTTTTGGCTACGTCGCCTTTCCCCATACTTGAATTTCCTTTAAAAATAATTCCTTCTGTCTCTATGTCATATTTTTCCAACAACTCCGTAGGTATACGATATACCTTAACCGTTTGGTTTCACATAGTAACAATAGCTCATCACATCATGGTGGTGAATAATTTGAGTTGTAGGGTGAGGTTGGCAATACCACCATTCTACCACCTCCGACGCCGCACTGTTGTGTGTGTGTGTGAGTAGTCCGTTACGTCTCTCACTTTTTATTATGTACGTTAAGGTTAAACACTTATGAACGTTTTTTTGTTGTTGCTTTATGAATTATGTTTTACTTTTAATATTCGGATGTCAAATAAAGTTTCTTTAAATCTTATGTTTATGATTCATGTTGATTGATAATGGTTCGGCGTAAAAGTAACACCGCCTACAGAGTATTTTTATAATTAATATTTTCATCATCGTTTTTTTTCTAAAATTGCCTAAAAGTCAGCATATATGGCAAATGGATGCTTCCTTGTGCGATTAATATTTTCAAATTTCATAAAAGTGTTTGGACTTGCAAGTACTGGTAGCAGCGGCTTATTTTTGTTGCAATTCAGTTTGTGATCTTTAAGTCGCTGTTCCGCGCTAACTCCACGGCGATTAATTCCAAAGTATGACTTGAAACAGCGCTTACATATTAACACAACGTGACCGTTTTGTGACATTTGTGAACCAACTAATTTAGATAGATTTATTATTCGACAGTAATGCTCGTTACCCGAGGCTTCTCCAAATAACAATAAATCATGGTGGTCAGTTCTTTCGAGTTCACAAACTTTTATGGGGTATATCGTATAGTAAGATAATTTTTTTTGAACCATTTTTCTGTTAGAAATATTTTTTACATTATTTTTATGTGTAGGATCGCCTTGTTTTATGCTATATACATTTACCGACACATTATTTATTTTTTCAAATTAGTCGATATCTTTCATTTTTACGGGGAAATTTATTTTGGAAAAATCATAAATATGTTCTACTTCTGCATAATTACGTCCTATTCTTTCGGCATGCACGGGATTTACGTGTTTCACTAATATGCTATATTTAAAACACTTGTTATCGTCATTTTGCACATTAATGGTTGCTTTTTTATTTTCGATGAATTCCGGTAATGGCATATATGACGCACCTCCTAAAGGCGTATGTTGGTTTATATTTAATATTAGACCGTCTATACTATCTAATGTAAATCCGCTGCCTTTAAGCGCCATTATTTCCTGTTCTTTAAGTATAGTATCAAAATCCATTTTTAAAATTTCATTTATATTATGGTCGTTAAATATTGGCCTTGCCCTGGTTTTAAATGCGCGGTTTTCTTTTATGTCGGTGTGAGGTTTAATGTATGTAGCCTCCAGTTTTATATTGTATTTAATCGGCGACTGGTGAAGTGCACCGTCAATTATTTCAATTATTTCGGGCTTTGAAATTTCTAATAATTCTATGGCATCTTTAATATTGGCAATATATTTTTTTTAAATATTCTGTACAAAGCCCCTTAGACGCGGACTTTGTTTTGACGAATTTCGATGATGTTGTTGCGTTCATTCGTGCACGTTAATTTTGTACATTCGGTAAAGAATTTTCGGTATATTTACGTTTTCCTAATAAGAAAAAAATCTATCAGTCCTTTATAAAGCTTGGATTTATACTTCATACGAATTTATTTTTCATAAAATGAGCCTACGTAATAATATAAAAATGATTACCTTGTAAATGATGGTTGTCGATCATAGTAAACAGTTCATCATATCCGTCATCATACCATTCGTTAGACTTGTTATCAGGTCCCAGATAGTCATCTTGTTGGTGTGATGGTCCTGCTGGTACATCTAATACAAATATTTGTGGTGAAATCTCTACCTGATCACTACGGGCATGTATTGGTTGAACGACGACTTGTCGGGTAAGATCGACATCATTATCTCCACGACAAGCCGAGGCAAATTGATTTACTTATGGGTAAATTGTATACCTTTGTGTGTTTTGTGATTTCTAAGCAAATTTTATTTACGATCAAATTCAGACGGGCAATGATTGTATTTAAACATTTTGTTAGTTAAAATATATTAAAACTTGTTAAAATCGGTATACGGCTATAAGTGATAAACGGGGGTAGCCGCTCAAATGTACGTGTGTGCATGACGGACAAAATGCTTAACACTGATCGGTGCAACACACCATTTTACCTAAATTTTTTGTACCCTAAGAAGGGGTATGTTACTAAGAAGGGATACGAAGGGCACCGGTAGTGGAATCATGCATTTTCTTTGACCAACGGTTACCGTCACACATACAAAAGATTGTTATATATGTGGAGTTGAGTTTCCCACCAGAGAAAGGGTCGGTTCCTGATACAACTAAGGTGGTGGGTGGGAGCTAAGCGTCAGTGTTGTTTTGACGTGCGAGTGATCCGTTAGTCGTTTGTTGTTTGTATAAGTCTGTATTTTGTTATTTGTACGTCAATAAAGAGTTAATTCGTTACCAGTGCGCTGTTGGTTATTCAAGTGTATATTTTGGTGCCCAATCCCACATTTTTGGGGGCCTGTCCGGGATGCGCTCCGATTTTTATACTTTAATAATCGCATGGTTGTGTTTTTGTGCGTGATTCGAGTTTGAACCTAACCTCACTTTTATCAAGTTCGGTTACGCCACAGATATATACAATAACTAGATAGCTAACTGATTATATCTGACGCACTATGATTAAGAAGCCGAATGCCATATGCGTGGTAGTCAATGTTTTTGTTTGTTATCACTTTATCAATTCGAATTTATCATCATATTATTGTACAGATATTATATCAATAATTTATTGCATACATCTTTGTATTATGTACAGTCAATTATTGCTAATATAATTTTTATTTTTCATAAAAAAAATTGTTTTATGTGATTTTTAAGTACTTAATTAAATATGCCGCAGAACATTTCTTTTTGCTTCTAACTGATAACTTGAAAAACATAAATATACCAAATTTAGAAAATAAAATAATTGCACTTGTCAATAATAAATTTGTGCTTGATCGTAATATATTTAAGACACTTAATTGTGAAAATGTATTATATTGGTCGAGTACCCACTTATAGTTTTTACCTGGTTATACTTGTTTAATCTCTTTTCCGTGGTTCATACATTTATATAATATTATATATTATATAGTTATATATTTGTTATACTACTTATACTTATACGTACTTAACAATTTTATTTTATATTTAAATAAATTACTTATTAATTATTATTAGTAATAAGTAATAACAATTTAATTTAATATATTGTATTTCATAGTGATAAGAAATGATAACAATAATTAATGTAAACATTGACTACCACGCATATGGCGGTTGACTTCCGACTGTTACGATAGTTAGCTATCTAGTTATTGTATATATCTGTGGGTTACGCAGATTATACATCGAGTATATTGTTGATATCATAGTGTGATAACTGATAGCAGTATTGTTTACTAAACTGTTGTGATAATGCCGTGACCGCGAAAGAATGTGCAAGCGAGTCGAGGACTGGAAGAGAGTGTCGGCGATCGTGTTGATGATCGTTAGCTGAATGGGCGTAGTGTTAGCGCTACATTCGCAGAGGTACAGGATTCATTAAGTCCATTCACCGGAGACGATAGTGGCAGTATTGTGAAATGGGTAGAGGATTTCGAAGATTTGGCAGATTTGTGTTCTTGGTCGGAACTGCATAAGTTTTTATATGGCAAGGAACTGCTTCAGGGCACAGCCCTTGATTTTGTACGAGGCGAAAGTGGTTTGCGATTGTGGTCCGAGTTACGCGACAAGTTGCTAAATGAATTCCGTTGTCGGCTGAGTACGGCTGATGTTCATCGACAGTTATCGTCTCGTTGGAAAAGTGCCGATGAAACACTGCTACAGTACTTATATAAAATGCAGGAAACTGTGATGGGGATCGCCGCTGAATATGGTCTTGACATTAAGTGGTCCAAGTGTCAATTTCTTAAGCGCACTATTGATTACCTCGGTTACCGTATTCAGCATAACGCTGTCAGTCCCTCCGAAGTTAAACTTTCAGCCGTGCGTCATTTCCCTATACCTAAGACCGTCAAAGCGATGCAAAGCTTCTTAGGGCTTACCGGTTATTTTAGACGGTTCATATACAGTTACGCAAATGTGGCACGACCGCTGAGTGTCCTGCTGAAACAAGATGTGGTATTCCAAGTTGGTGTTGAACAGGAAGCAGCCTTTGTAGAGCTGAAACGTCGTCTTACAGAAACCCCTGTGTTACGAATCTACAGTCCTGAAGCTGAGGCGACAGAGTTGCACACTGATGCAAGTCAATAGGGATTTGGGGCGGTGCTACTGCAGAATTATAGCAATGATGGTAAGTTGCATCCAGTGTGCTACATGAGTAGAAAAACCACTGAGGCACAGCGTAACTATCATAGTTATGAACTAGAGTTACTGGCGATCGTGGAAGCATTGAAAAAGTTTAGAGTGTATTTATTGGGTATACATTTCAAAATCGTGACAGATTGACGAAAACCTTGGAGAAAAAAGATTTAGCAACCAGAGTGGCCAGGTTATTGCTGGTCTCAGAGTACGATTATACCATAGAATACAGGTCCGGCTCAAGGATGCCCCGTGTGGATTCTTTGAGTCGTTACCCAGTGTGCATGTCCATCCAGAGAAGTGAGTTCCTGTTACGGTTGGTAGCAGCACAACAAGGCGACCCTGATGTTCGGACTATCATGAATGCACTTGTGGCTGGGATACATGTAATTAAGGGTGGCATTCTACACGAAGTATGTGATGGTAACGACTTACCAGTGATTCCCAGGAACATGCAGACTGAGGTTATTAGGAATGCCCATAACATAGGCTATTTTGGAGTCACCAAAACTCAATGGTTAGTACGGCGTGAATACTCAATTGTTGGGTTAAAGAAGAAAATTGAATCGGTAATTAGAAATTGTGTCCCATGTATCTTAATGAATAGAAAACAAGGCAGGCAGGAAGGTTTCCTCCACCCTATTGCTAAGGGAGACGCACCGCTGATGACCTGCCACATTGATTTTTTAGGACCAATGGAAGCAACGTCAAAAGGGTATAAGCATATATTGGCTGTAATAGATGGGTTCTCAAAGTTTTGCTGGCTATTCCCTACAAAGAGCACTGTAGCGTCAGAAGTTATTGATCGTTTGTCACTATTGGAGGTGACATTTGGTAACCTTGAACGTATTGTGTCTGATCGCGGAACAGCGTTCACATCACACAGTTTCGAACAGTATTGCAAAGACCGGAATATTAGACACATATTAATTACCACAGGCATGCCCCGTGGAAACGGACAGGTTGAACGACTCAATGCTGTTATTATTAATGTGTTGGCCAAGAAGTGTATTGACCAACCAGGAAAATGGTATCGACAAGTGGGCAAGGTGCAGATGGCAATAAATGGGTCAGTGCAGAGGTCTATAGGCATGACTCCATTCAAGCTGACTTTTGGTGTGGAAATGCGTCATGCTGATTTTGCGTCACTAAAGGAAGCTATGGAGAAAGAGTAAATAAAATGGTATGAAAGTCAACGAGAAGAGGACCGTCAGCGGGCCAAAGATCAAATTGCCAAGGCTCAAGAGGAGCAACGCAAGACCTTCAACAAGCGTAGGAAGGAATCTGAGTCATATTGTATAGGTGATTTGGTAGTTTCTAACCTAACCTAGAGTTAAGTTAACCTAAGTTATCCGTAGAACACAGTTCCTACCGATGTCTAAGCTTGCAAGAAAATATCTGGGACCCTATTGTATTGTCGGCAGAAGGGGCCAAATCGTTTTGAAGTATG